CTATATTGCGACCGAACTAGACGAAGAAGGCAAATATTCAACACTTGTCTTTTTATCATACACTTACTAGTATGTGACTTAACTCATGAATAAACTAAAATTTCCGAAAACTGAACATTTATGAAACACCAACAAGTAAAGCTGACGGATTAGTGAATGGTGATCCAGATGCTATTGCGATGTGTGTTCATAATTCAAATTATAATGCTGGAGGTACACGTACTCGCATGTACGTACATTGTACACATTTATCACTTACTCAATATTCATGAGCTTAGGTACAAGAAACAATTTCTGTCACTTGCAAAATGCAATATTGAGCATCCTTCCATGCTGTTCCTCGTACTCACGCTTTCTTGCCACCCGATCGGCTAGATAGCGGGCCCTGGCCGGGTTCGCTGGGTACATTCCGGCGGCAGACATGCAGCCAATTACCAAAGACAAAGGCTCGCTATTGGCAGTCTCACGCCTCAAGGAGAACGCTGACAGTGGGCCCGTGCATATTTTATGGAGGCACACCTAGTGCGGGAGGGCTGACTGACATCCGGTCCGCCGCTGCCGACCTGCACCGTGCGCTGCGGAACACTGCAGACCACTGCAGTCAAACCGCCCGCGGGCCGAGCGCTGACCACTGACCACCAGTCAGACCGCCCGCGGGGAGCACTGACCACTGACCATCGGTCATGACCATTGACCGCCGCGGAGAAGCACCTGCACTGACCACCAGTCACGAACTGTGCGGGGAAGGAATATCACTGTTTGAAGGGAAATTACTACTTTTTACATTAGGATTCAATTAGATCCAGAAAATTCCTTACAAGGATTGGTCGCTGTAGTTTCTGCTGGAATCTCATTAACCCTCGCCCATGTAGGGGGGGTTGGTTTGGTGCAACCCCCCCCCCCTGAGGTTTTTCGGAAATAGTGCAAAAACGGCGGCGCGCAGCGCCGCCAAATTTTGGGTACCTTATGGGGCAAACCTTGCGCATCTTTTGATAAAAAAATTTGACCGGGTCATGTCAGGTCACGGAGTTATGACGTCACAAAGGGAACAGCCTCCGGCCGGATTTTCACAAACTGAGTGCCAACGCCCGAGGTTTCCTGCCGGTGGTACGGACATCGGTTGATGGATCGTGATGAAACTTCCCATGCATGTTGGGGCAAGTATTGGCTATCATATGGTATAAGAAACTTGACCGGGTCAGGTCAGGTCACGGAGCTATGACGTCACAAGAGGAACAGCGTCCGGTACTATTTTTGAAAAGCGCCCGAACCACTATTTTGCTAATTCTTGTCACCTCAATGGGAATATGCAGCAATATTAGCTTCTATAGGGAGCGAATGGACATCCCAAATCCAAAAATACAATCAGATTTCAAAAATTTAAATTTTGATTTTTCGAATTTCTGCCGCCGACTGTGACCTTGCCGACTTCCGGCGCTCCCAACGCGCCATTTTTAGAGCTAGGGAAACGAAATACATACCAAACGATAGAGAATTGATCAAGGAACACGATAGTGAAGGTTTCAAGTAATATCTCCCACCGTTTTGCCGCAATCGCCGCGGAAAAGTTGAAAAAGTCTATTTTTCCGAAAATTTGACCTTTGACCGGTCAAAAGTAGGTCAAATGTTGACCTAGGACCAAAAAATATACCACCAATCGCGAGATCTCGACGAGAGCAATCCGTTGGTCTTTTCCGCTAAGCTCTACGACGCTCCGTTTTCAAACGCCAAGGGGGGGGGGGGTCGCACCAACCCCCCCCCCTGCATGGGCGAAGGTGGCAGATCGCCGTTTACGGGCGAGGGTTAAACTTTAATATAATAGTCACCTCCAAAGGTAGCTTTGTGGTTGCCGTCGGGAAAATTATCGCTTATTTGAAAATAAGCTCAAACAATTTGGAAGTCATTAGCCAATCTTTTTATCTGAGATGATTTGCTTGATGTTCGAGATGAGTTGCTATTGTTGCTAACCTCCGTTTAAGTAGCAATGCATGCTTTGAAGCATGATATTTTACTTCGAATGCCACTTTATTGAAAACAATAGCCTTACAAGTGATGGAAAATACAAAATGGCCGTAAAGTAAGAACATGATTAACAACACATTAAACCTTGACTTAATGACCGATTTAGAGTACAATTTACGTGATCGTTCTGGTTTTAGATGCAATTAATTGCGTTTTAAGTAGTTATCATGCAGGCCGTTGCAGTGGCACAGATGCATATCATGCGATATGCATATTGCTCATTGCCAAATATCCTATACAGTGTGCCGCTTACCAGAGGCTTAACCCGCGCCCCACTGGGGTCCGCGTATAACACGCCCTACTGGGGGGGGGGGGGGCTCTTCATAGCCCCCCCCCTCCTAACTCCGAAACTACTGGGCTGATCGTCAAAATTCAAACGGCGTCTGATAGCCCCGGAAAAACTGTCGAATGAAGCCTAATTTTATTGACCTCGAGGTCACCAATGACGTCACAGGTCAGGTCAAAGTAAAAATTATTAGCATTTTGGCTTGTTCACATTTTGGGCTCTGGCCGCCGTCTTACAAGTCAGATCAGGCTCATTTTTGGTTTACACACTCGTGAACAGAATGCTCTAGATAACCTGAGGGTACCAAACTTGTACTTTGATTTTCAGGTCAGGGTCAGGTCATCACAGGTCACGGAAATAATATATCATGCGTCGGTCACGTGACACATGTTTTATGGTCCATTTAGGCCATAGATTTCGAATTTTACGTCGTCTGTGTCATTCGAGGTCATTTTGAGTCGAATTTAGCTTAGGTCAGGTCACTTTTATGTCAAAAAAGGTAAAATTTTGAAGTTAAAGTTTTTCAACAAAAAAGGTGTTGGTTAGATGCAGTTTGAGCTCAGGAACATGATGGTGCTATTTATATTGGTATAGGATGTCAAATACGTACTGAAAATTGATTTGAAAAATTAATTATTGTGAATTTTTTGCAATAATGCGTATAACTTGGCCATTTTTGAAGATATTTAGCTAAAACTTGCTGGAGTTAGTCATAGGCATGCGTTTTATCACAAATATTCCGTTTTTTTAGAAAAGTCCAAAACTTTTTGAAAAAATAAAATTGTTTAATTGTATTATATGAAATTTGCGAAATTTCTAAAATTTTGAAATCCGAGATAGCAGTTTGATAGCGCAGTCTATTCTGAGTCGTTTCATGCAAAGAAATTGGATCTAGCTTAAAAACTGAACTCTTGGGAGCGATTGCCGTGGTTCAATGTTTTGCGTCGAAATCGGCCGAACATGACGTCACTCTGACGTCATTTCCGGCCGACCTATGGTAGCTACGAAGTTCATATTTTGACACAAGGTGTCAAATTGATGCAGCCGAAGGTACTGAAAGTTTGGCGTCGATACGTTAAGCAATTTGGAAGTTATTGCAGAAAAACGAGAGGGGGCTATGAATAGCCCCCCCCCCGTGGGGCGCGGGTTAATCCCGAGGTGTTGCTTAACCCTCGCCAGGACAGGGGATTGATGCAAACTCCCTAAGGGGGGTCGTACCAACCCCCCTTGTGCCGTCAAAGGACGCAAAATATCCTGTGCCGACGAGGGTTAACCCTCGCCCTGGCAGGGCATTTTTCATAACACGGCCTGGCAGGGGGGGGGGGTCGATGCGACCCCCCTCACGATTGGCTCCTATGGCACCTAGAAACACCAAATTTGGTAGGTAGGTGGGCCCCCTGGAGTTCTCGCCCCTGTGGAAATTTGGTTGCTCTAGGTCAATATTTAGGAGGGTTTTGGGGGGTATAAATGTAAAAATTTCGCTAAAACTGGTCAAAAGTTTTTCGCTTATAACTTTTGATCTAATTAAGATAGAGCAAAAAAAAAGCACCAGTGAACTCAGCACGTCAAGGCGCGTCGATTGATATACTTTTTAGATTGCTTAAGTGTACTTTAATTTTTTCTTACATTTTAAGTAAACTTAAATTAATAAATTAAGTTCAAGTTAACCAAATTGCATCATATCGCATATCATTCGATTCGACTGATCACCAGGAAAACAATGATACCATTTTTTAAGCTCTAGCGTCATTATGTGCCAAGTTATTGGCAAAAACGTCATTTGACCTCAGTTGACCTCATTTGACCTCACCCATGGATAAGTACACCAAACAAAGAAGCACCAAGTGACCTGCTGTTAAGTACCGTGGTTTCAAAGCACAAAAATGATAGAACGAAGCGGATATCTCCAGTATTTTCCGAATTTAGTATTTTCCCATAGGCTTAACATTACGACGTAGTGACCTCTAACTGACCTCAGGTCAGTGACCTCAAAAAAGCCGGACTATATGTTATACAACTCGGTGAACTTACTACATCCTGAAAGTTTGAAGGGAATCAGTCGAAAACTGTGAGTTGGACAGGTGCAAAAAGAAAATTGAAATTTGACCGTGACCTTGTACCCGTTTTTCTGACCTGGTGACCTGACCCAAGGTCACTTAGACCTGAAATTTTCAGGTCATATGTAAAAAGGTTGCCCCATAGGCTGTGCCAAATTTGGCGGCGCTGCGCGCCGCCGTTTTTACGCTATCTTCGAAAAACCTTAGGGGAGGGGGGGGGTCGCATCGACCCCCCCCCCCTGCCAGGGCGAGGGTTAATGTCCTTCGCCATTTACGAACTGTTCAGATAGCTGAATAAATAGGCGTGCCAGCTGCAATATTAAATGGCATTTGGTAAGCATGTAAACGAGTGAAAGTTATGGAAACAAAGTAAAAGACGTTTGAAAAGTAACTACGTAGGTTCGGTTATACATATGTGTGACTTATAACACACAACGAAATTTATTATTTCACAATCCTACATAAAGCGTTGTGAATGAGGGTACCTAATTCCGGATGGATTTCAGCACATTCTGATTGGCCCAAGCCTCAAATGAATCAAATGACGAAGGACAACTAATATAGGCATGTGAGTACCACACTCCTTCAAACCGATTACCTCATATCTAACAAGGAGTATAATATCAAAAACGGAATATCAAACAAGCTTCGATGCGCTGATTTTTTGTATTATAATAATGATAATTAGGTCCATGCATCCAGTTTACACTTCTCGAGTCAGTAGACAGTACCGAACAATGATGAAGTTACTTACAACGGCTGTTGGGTCACCTATAAAGGAAACCAGGCAGTCACTTAGATAAACTTAAAGCGCAATCGATCAATGACCACATTAAATAAGCAAATTACGCAATTCGATATGTAGAGATGCGTAGAAAACACCCATATGTCGCATACACCAGCACAAAAAGGTAAAGTCTTCTCATAATCCATATACCATACATACACATTACAAATTACACATAAGTACAGCAAGGCATATGCGCCATGAGTGCAGTGTTCGCCAAAGTTTTCCTAAATGCCACTGCATTTGCACATAGAGCTGGCTCATGTCATGCAATCACATGGAAATAAGCAGGATGGGCCCACGTTCCGCATCTCATTTGCAGCTCCCGCAACTTCAATGTTCATAATGTGGAGACGTGCACATAATATGCGCAAACGTGTTCGTTGCGTAAGTTCACCGTCTTGAAATTCACCAGCGACCAGCAACCATCGTTGGCAATTCATTGCAATCTGCCCCAGTTAACAAATGACATTAAACACTCTGGCCAACTAATTAAAGTTGACAGACCAACTTACCGTCTTGCGAACCGCTCATGCGTTTCGCCCGTATCGGTTCACGCTCTCTCGGCGGCACATCGCGACGACAGGTGACCTCGGCGGCTGTCGACTCGCTCGGATGGCTCGCATGTCTCGCAATTATCGCTGCGGACCACAGAGCAGATCCCCAAAGTATCTTGTCGCACTGTCACACAGCGATTACGATTGTTCTGACATGAAGCTGTATCGATCTTTCCGCCATCTTGTTCAGCACTTTACACACTTAGTGAACTCCCGAGGGATTGTCATGATAGGGTGAAACCTTGCGTTAGGTTGACGTCATTAGTTGGCATTAGCCAGCGCCGTGACTGTTGACGTCGTAAGCCGAGTCCTTGTCGCTCGTAAGCGCCACAACAGGTAGCACTTACTGGTGGTTTTCACCATCGGTATAACGATAGCGCTCATCTGACTCGAGCGCTATCGCTAGGTGCCGGAGGTTTCGGTAGCCGGCGGTATGCAGTGAGCCAGCAGCGTACACCAGTGACGTAGTCAGGGGTACTGGCGGTCATCAGTGACGTCATCAGTGGTACCGGTGCAGGTCCGCCCGGAGTCGTTGATTGGCGAGTGGGACTATGCAAAGACAGAGAGCCAACAAGGCCAGCAGGGCTGAACGCTGGCAACCTGGGGAGAAAAGAAGGGCGAAAGGTCAGAAAGGATAGAATATCAAACGAGGCTTGCCAGCTTCGAAATGTCTAATCACAACAAAGCACACATTATCATAAAGCCCAAGGCATGAAGCATTATAGTAGGCATATAGTAAGCATAAGCGCAGAAAACAACAATGGATCTGATATTTGCCATTTGCGGGTGGTTTAGTATCGAAGCAACCTATAGACTATGAGCTGCACGAATAATAGCCGAACGGATGCATCGATAAAGAATGTCATGGTATGGTAATGCCCTGGGAGCTGCCCGGACATAGGAAATGACTTCCCAATAATAGTGTCTCCTCAATTAATTTGCTATATTACCAACATTGTTTTTATTCCGCCGGTATCTCCCCAATCCGCTCTCACTCGATGCGTTCGCTATTTGTGTGAAAATGCTCATATGATATCGACTGTCAGGAAGACTATCAAACAGGCACGTTTAAATAGACGTCAGCTTGGAACTGCTGAATACGGCTTTACGTCATATTAACTTGCACACATCATTCGTTTACGACGGAACAAACAAGAAGGTAGCATGGGTTTTCAATTATGATTGAAAACTGACGAATGTGATCAGCCGTAAACGCGTTCCCTGAACTTTTCCTGCCACGACCAAGGGTAAGCTAAGTTACAGTTATTGCCTTCATACAGCTAAATCTCACTTGATCCAACAATTTTAAACAAACTAATTTGAAGAACCCATTTCGAAAACTGCTCCTAAATAAAATGAAATAACTGCATTTTACCCGAGAGAAAGATTATCGTAAGCCTGTTGCACACATCTGCATAACATGATGCAGACGGTCTATGCAGTACCTACTGTCTGTTGAGAAGTGTCCGCGTAAACTACTCTTGGGCGTCGGTTTGTATGCATGCCATGCTGATGAAGAATGGCCGAATGGGATCCATCAGCTCCAGTCTAAAATACTGGAGGAAGCAATATTGACATTGAAATTCAAGTAGGCTAGGATCCATGACGCAGAGAACTTCTTAAGTCGGTCATTGAAAGTAAATGTTAAGCGATGTACTCTCCCTTAGGGTGGCTTGAAATACCAGGAAGAAGATTGGTTAAATTGATAGATGGGCTAACAAAGGTTGTTATCTCAAATAATAACTTGGTCTCCTTTTACTATAGAATGCGTAAATAAAGCCGAGCAAATAAACACCATAAGCCGAGACAACAGCCCAACTGCAGCTCTCCTCCCTGTGTCACCTTTCTGCACTGTCACAAAAGGCCAATGATGTTTCACCATAACTCTGCCAAAGTGTTCAGACACACGCGAGATGATGAGAAGACGAACACCCTTTCCACCGCTTTGAAATCGTTTTGGTACCGTTGCAGTGCCGTTACAGATCGTGGCAGATATCTGGTCTATATAGAATTATGGGGGATAGTTTTGCCATTCTCGCTTTCGACAACAAAGGCGAACGAGGAGTGGGGTAATCATTGAAGATATACTGCGGGAACCCAGGCCATTGAGACGCTGTGCTGCATCGATTAGTGCTATATACAGAGCGATGGGGGATGGTTCAGCCCACGCTTACCAGCGTTAGACGCACGCAGTCCACCTGAAACAAGAAAACGTGCTAATAAAATGGGCATTTGCACCATTTGCACCTCATTCTAAGTACTGTCACCACGTTGAACGTATTGGGCATATTCTAAATAAAATCAGCGCTAAGCTAATGAACACCTAACAATGACAATTTTTAAAAGCATTTTTCTTGCATTTAAAGACATGATGTGGAGATGAATTGTGAATTAAAATGAAATCGGACTTACTCCACAAGAGTTCGTTGGGTCGGAGCTTTCGAATTGCATTACAATTCTTCGTCAGCGAGAGTCGTATCGGATGTTAAGATCGAATCGAAGGTACAGTGCGGATATTTGTTCGATCCGCACTGTACCTTCGATTCGATCTTAACATCCGATACGACTCTCGCTGACGAAGAATTGTAATACAATTCGAAAGCTCCGACCCAACGAACTCTTGTGGAGTAAGTCCGATTTCATTTTAATTCAGCATTTTTCTTTGTATTCTACGATGACATGAACGCTACAAAAGCGAGTTACCTGACATATTACTGTCACCGAAAAATGAACCGATTAAATATGATTTGGTGGGAACTTATCCGCTGATTTCAGCCATGTCTGGGTCCAGGTTTTATTTCAGTGCAATTATGGGATGCTTAGTTTAAACCTAATCTTAAAGCCAATATGCGTTGATTGAAGTGGGTAACACGTAGTTATTTACATTTGGTATCGATATATTTTTTACTGCTCGGTCAACTTTTTCTCGGCTAGCTGATGAACCGCGTATTCATTACAGACAAACTTGGCCACGGACCTAGACCACCACATCAGCTTAATTGGCCATAGCCTAACCTCTAATGTAATTCCCTGACCGCTGTAACCAATACACCACCGCAGCTGGGCGGAAAATCACCCGGCCATGACCAGTAGCAACACCATTGCAGCGGGCCGATACGGCCTGAGGCGGCACGCCTCTGTCCTGGTCACGAACGGCCATCGACCTGCGCTGGTCACGGGCACGGCACTGCGGGACCGGCGGAACTGGCCCCGCCGACGGCACGCGCGCCCGCAGGGTATGCACATTGTTAGATAGTTGTGGTCGTGGTCGTGAAATCAATTTTCAGAGAAAGGGAGCGCCACTGTGCTATTGGCCCCGTCTGGCTGAGTTGGTGAGCTGTTGGGCTAAAACACGGGCAGTTTAAAAGCCTGTCAGGGCATTCAATATCCGTCAATACCTCTTGAATAGGAGAGGCCTCCACTGGACAAAGGGCAGTTGTTCGCAGCAATCACTACCCATCCTTAATTCAAGGCGAAAATGTCAAGGCAACTCCGGTCTCTTTTTGCTGCCGTTTGGCTCCCTGAAATGAATGTTTCAATACATACGGGTATTTATGGTTGGTGTTACCCTGAGACGTAATATATGGTTTTCTAATTGGACTTCCAAACTATGACCTTACTTCTGTTAAAGGGACTATCCCACCTTCTAAAATGTTGTTAAAACCAGTTAAATTGTGCCCGACTTTATAGATTGGATGACCAGGAACACGGTTCTGGCATTTATTTTTCATTAAACATCTTAGGCTTCCCATATTCCAAACACAAACTTTCAAATATGTGACGTCACAGCCCAAAATTACCTCCTTCCCCAGGCCACATTACTGTCATAAAGCTGATTCTTTTTACTCTGTAGGCACCACAACAAAGTTCAGACCAAGTTTTAAGCGATTTTTCAACGAACAAACCCATTTAAATCAGAATGACTAAACAAGGTGACGTCACACTAACGGTCGCTCCATGTTGAAGATAGGGCCTTGTACAAGGCCCATTTTCAAATGAAGGGAACGAATTTCTTCAACACCAAGAGGCCGCGGGGGTTGCAACCTAGATAGATAGTGGTTTCTGAACCTCGCCGCAAACTTGGCTATCTCAACTCAAACCCCATGTTAAAGGTGGGATAGTCCCTTTAATATTCGAGATCATTACCATGGAACAAAGTCACCTTTTGAGACACCTTCCTCTCCTTCCAGCCCGTTACCCCTGGCTTTGTTCCCGTTTCAGCCGCCTTCAGAGCCAGTTGCGGAGCACATGGCTGGGGCGGTGACCTCTGGGCCGAGCTCTGATTAAACCTGCCGCCGACAGAATAGGAGTCCCCTGTCGGCGTCACATGGCGGCGCGGCGCGGCGCGGCGCGTGCGCCGCCGGCCGCCGCGCTCGTCCCCAGTCGGACACAGAAGGGGAGTGGTGGCGGCCAATGCTAATCCGCCGCCGGCTAACTGTGGCGGGCTATAACGGACGCTTTATGATGGCCGAGGGGAGCACTCGGCCGCGCTCCGCTCGGTGATACCCAGTAACGACTTCACTGCATCACTCGACAGTGCCACCGCGTATTGATCATAGCCAAGGATTATTGTCGAGAATGGTTTGTGTAATGATAAGCGCACCGGCAAATCTGGAATGGGATCGCCGGGCTGAGTGACGCAGGCCATAACGGCCACTCGCTTGGCAGGCGTGCTATATTTGCGTCCATAAACTGCAAGTCGCCCTCATTTGCCCAGCTTTCAACGCACAACTGTGTTCACCGCTCCTTTCCTCTTTCCTCCGGCCAAAGCGTTATCCGATATTCAAATGAAGTCGAATCGCACTCTCAGCGCAAACGCCGCCGCGACCAAGAGGGGAGCGCTGGGCGCGGGTCGGCCAGCCGGGTCCTCGCCGTCGCTCGCGTCTCGACCGCGGCCGGCCCCACCGCGCGGGCTCCGATGCTATCAGGGCAGCCCACAGGCAACAGCACCCCCGCCGCTCCGCCGGCGCACCGCCGGCGCCGCCGCCGAATACAAACACCGGCATTGTGGCCGCCAGTGGAGGGAACGGGCCAAGCTAATACCGATAAAGAACCGGGCCGACTGACGGCCTGCGGCTAGCACAAGCACACCTACCTCTGGCGATGGACGGTCCCGAGATCACGATTGTAGGTGGGTCCGGAGACAGTGCGTACTCTGTGGAAATTTAATTAAATTTGTCAGACTGGCGACTAAGAGGATTTCACGCAGAGGGCAACTTAAATGGAATGTCGGGACTTTAGTATACCAGTCCCCGCGGGAAACTAGGTTTAAAGGGACAGTATCATCGAAAAAAAAATCCATGTATGGAGCTGATTTTTTTTTTACTAGCATTTCTTATTTTTCTGAATCAGAAAAACATAGTTTGAGGACCGAACTCGGTGAAAAATATTGCAACCACATTTCATTTTCATGATTCATTTTCATGAGCGAACCACCACTATACAAGCATGGCCGCCAGTTTGGATGCATGCAAAATTACTACAGAACTGGCGCAGATAATACATTATTGACGCTACGCTTACGCGGTCGTTCTTCTGATTGAGTTGTCCTTAGGGAGAGGTAGCCTTAGGTATTGCCTATAAAAATATAACGTGACAATTGGAGGGAGTGACAATTGGACGTGACAATTGACAATGGGAGAAAATATCACGTGACAATCACGTGATAAACGTCATACATTGGAGGGAGATTGTGATTCAAGCTGGAGGAATTCCTTTGTTGAGCCGCTAGAATCCGAAGGAAACAGCGGAAATTGCCTACGACTATTTAATGAATTTAACGGTGATGAATAAGTGCGAAAAACGTTTTGGCTTTATAAAATTTGATAAAATGACCAGGGTAAAAGTGTTATTACTGGCGGTCAATTCAAAACGGCGCAAACATTTAAACAGTGAAGATAGTGAAGCACGATTCAAAGTGTGGTACACCTTTCGTACTTTGAGCGGCGATAGCGGGATAACGGTGTGGAGCTTCGAGGATCGGTCTTCAGTTCCCGGACCAGAAAGGTGGGGCCTATGCAATGTCAAATTTTATCAAAATGGTGATACTGTCCCTTTAACTCCACCGGCGGCGCAGCTGCTGAAATGTTTCTGGAAACTCTAGTTCAAACGTGCGACCGGCCAAAACACATTGGAACATTTATACCGGTGGATTCGGCTAATGGAAATGTGTTGTCTGGGAGAGTTGCAAGCTGCACCCGCATTGAGCCGGCTCTAAGTGACCCGGCCCAGAGGCTGAAAGTAGTTCATCCCATCTCACTCTCACTCACTCACTCACACTCTCCTCACTCTCTCTCCCTCTCTCTCTCTCTCCCCTCTGACTCTCTCAGTTCATCTCTCATCACTCTCTCATTTTCTTTCCCAAAGTCCCGCTATCTTCCCCTCTCTCTCTCTCTCTCTCTCTCTCTCTCTCTCTCTCTCTCTCTCTCTCTCGCTCAATTTTTGCAGAGTCACATCGCTCACCTGACGAGTAGGAGATCTCTCTTCGCTCCATATAGTTAGTATCTGATATTCGCATGATGCACTCGAAAAGGGTGTGGTCTTGTAACAGCTCGTGACGCGTCACCCAGAAGGCCGTGACGTCATATAGACCGTCACGCCACGAGACGTACTTGTTGAGACCCTCGATCGGAACCCTGCACAAACGGAAAGTGAGTGACGTGGTTTGGTTGTGTAATTTATGTGCTTGTTATGATTTATTTCAAAAGTTTTTCACCTTCGATGGCAGAAATAGGTGATAAGTATAGCCTGAACACCTGCTATCCTGGTTTATGGTTCACAAGCAGGAATAGTACAACTTCATCAATGTAGCCGGCCGAATTTCATTCAAACTTTATAAATGGGTTATCGGCAGGGCGATATTTTACATTATGCAGCGAACTTAATATTGAACTGCGAATGTCAGGACCAATCAGACGGCTGCGGGTGAGCCCACAACACCAAATTGGATTCGCACGCCAACAGAAGCCATCCAACATTATTGAACATTTACAAATGAAGCCAGAAGAAGCATGGGGCATGTAAATCGAGACCTAAAATTACATAGGTCAGCACACCGAGGTGATTTAAATTTTAGGTAGACCACCTCCTGGCCTCATAAGAAACTAGAACACCGGAAAGACAGCTGCCGTCTGAAAGAGCCGCCTTGTTTTCGATTTCTCACGACACGCAACAGCCCGATCCAAAGTTCCGGGTCCCTGGCGGGCTGTCACGGCAGCCGGGTGGTGTGCCAAGTTACGCGGTCGGGCGTCTGCCGTGAGCGTCAACAGACACACCCCGACCCGCCGCGTCCCACCGAGTCCCGGCCCGTCCCGTCACGCAACGTCCTGTCGGGTCCCGTCTTATCAGTCTTTCCCCGTCCGCCAACCCGACCCTGGTCCGCCCGATCAGTTTCTGAGAACCTGACCCATTTCGCCTCGTTCCATATCGTCTTGGCACGTTTTTCTCGTCCTGCCTGTCCCGTCTAATTCCGCCTCGCGACTGCCTCGTCCCGTCCCATCCTATGCTGTACATACATCACGTCCCATTTCGCCCGTACCTTCCTATCCCGCTCGTCCCGTCCCGTCCCGTTCCTTCCCTTCCCATCCTGTCCCGTCTCGTCCCGTCCCGTCCCGTTCCTTCCCTTCCCATCCTGTCCCGTCTCGTCCCGTCCCGTCCCGTTCCTTCCCTTCCCATCCTGTCCCGTCCCGTCCCGTCCCGTCCCTTCCCGTCCCGGTACCCCCCTCCCCCTGCTCACATGGTCCTGCTGTTGGCGCCACGGTACAGCTCCACGCGAGGCTCCGGATACATGCCCGACACGTGGCAAGTGATGTTGACCAGATTGTCACCCGGCTGGACCTCCGATATCGACATCTCACGCGGCGAGGCTGCCGACAAATAAAGGTGTTTAGAAGTGATATCTGTAATACTTTCTCGTTTACGGTGTTGAGGGATATTTGCTCTAGTGCATTTGCAGTGGTCTCAAGTCTGGGAATTTTAAATAAATATAGTACGCTACGCCTGAGGGACCCACAAAAAATGTTTATTTTGTCGGGAAAGTGTTGCTATTTGTTCGTCATCGAGAATATGATTCAGTAAAAAATGTTTTCGAGTTTGACGGTGCACGGACCTGATGCATAAAGTTATCCATAGAAGAACGTAGTAAGGCTCTGAGAGCTTTGCCTAAATCAGTGAATTCTTGTGCGTTTGCATAGGTACCTCATAGCTATGCAAATGCGCACACATAGCTGTCGAAGTGACTTGTGCTGATTACACTTGATATTGCAGACGACTCAATGTGAAGGTACTGTGTAGTAAGTCTTAGTGCAGAACGTCTGATCCCCGACTTAGGTACTGATAGCCAAGAGGTGCAGAGCATCCCCTAACAATCCCTCACTCCTGAAACACGAACCATATCTAAGCAACCATATTACCGCAAAATCCCTCTGAAGCTCGGACAGAGAGTCACTTTTAAACCAGAGGAACGCAAACTTCAAACAAGTTCTTGTTAGTGCCGGTTCACATGAATTAGAGGGATTAGCTATCTTCTAAGGCCGCTTTATTCGGGTTTTCCGCAGCGCCGGAGCCGCTCGGTCCATCCCGCCTCGCTCCATCGGTCGTGCGGCACAGCCTAACTTCCAGGCGTCTATCACTAGTGCCATCTAGCGACTGAAGGTATAACTCCGACAACTGCGGCACAGCAGCGTCCAGGCGTCGACTACCAGTGCCATCTAGCGACGGAAGGCATCAATGCCACTAGCTCCGAGCCAATCCATTCGTTTTCATGGCGACAGCTGATCGCCATCTCAGTTCGCTCGCTTTAGCTCTGACATGGCTAGCTGTGCCTCCTTTTGGGAGGTGACGGACTGTGAGCTTTCATTTCAGTTCATTCAGCTTTCAGTTCATTCAGCAACTGCCGGGAGGCGGGTCAACGACCTACGTCACTGCGTTATAGGTTCTGGAGTGTCGGTCAGTCTTTGTGTCCCACTGATCGATAGGTGAATGACTCTAGCCAAGTAAGTTAAGTCACGCAGTTTCAGCAGGTTTAAAGCCAGTTTCGTTCTACAATCTACATACAGTGCTACCACAGTTATAATTTCATGGAGTCTCACATGTCAGTCACATGATTGAAGATAAACATATCATGTTTAGGCAACTAGGTATATTGATACCTACACTGACCATAGACCTCTGTAAATACGTATGTATTTACACCACCGGGCTGACCAAGTGTAGAAAGGTCCAAATCTTGTTCGTGATGCAAAAATGCAAGCACACACAAAGCTGTCACAGAGGTCACAATCACGTCCTTCGACAATGCTTCTGGGTTTCATCAATGAAATAAAGAGCACCGTAAAATGCCGCCATGCCACCACTATAACTATTGCAACTGGTCACTTCTTGATCTAGGATTCACCTTAAACCTGCATAAACAGTTAAATTTCACATAAAGAAAAGCTATAAGTTACAATCAACGCCAGACATTTCAATATTATGCAATGAAACAACCCAAATGGGCAAAATCTCCTAGGGATTTATAGCCATGTTCGGCCATCCAAAACCAAACGTGTCATTCCTTTCAGTGCCAGTCACATTAAATCAACCAAGGTTGATCAGGCACAAAAATCCCATCTGGGCCTTTCAAGATTCTAATAAGCTGACGATATAAAACGCCATCCAAGGTGGTTTAACTGGAACTGCTGATCAAAGGCATCAATCACCAGACCCGTCTCAGCAGAGGCAATCTCTACAGGATCCCGGGCCTCGCTAAAAATCAGCGAACGACACGAAATACTACGACTGGGCTCTGCCAAATCTCACTAACAAATTGGCTTTACCGCCAAGTTTGGGAACGAACGGGTATCAATCGGTTGTAGCTACGTATGTGCCAAAAAATCACGTTTAAAACACGATGGACTGGGTTTCTAACAAACAAAATCTTGCAAATTTCTCACAAAATTCATACAAAAAAAAAAACAATTAATAAGTCCAGGCGCATCAGTGTCTATGTCTATGCATAATAGTATACTATCACAATTCATTTCACTATTGCTCAATAATTAATCACGCGACTTGTAATCAACTCAAAAGTTAGATGAATGATTTCTGTCCTAATTTCAGATTGATTTGGAAACTGTGCGCCACTAATGAGCAAAGTTAGTTTGAGAATCGAATTTTCCTCTCGCAACCCTCTCTATATCTATTATTGATGAAGCATTCTTCTGTCATTCAAACATCCGTCAACGTTCTACCACTCATATGTCCTCATTTTCTTTTCATTTTAATCTCAACATGCAACGAATCAAGACCCAATGCAATAAATCAAGTCCTCATGCACTGAATCAGCTCTCCACCGTCACCTATACTCACTGTAGACCACCAGTCGCTTGTGGCGCGTGAAGTCATGCCGAGTGGACGTCACCTTGCACATGTAGCGACCACTCAGCTCCACGGTCGGCCGGAGGATCTGCATCGCCCGGTACCGCTCGTTGGCCGTCTCCGAGGCCGTGAAACTGAGGTTAACCCTGTGACGGAGAGGACCCAGCGCCTGCGGTCGCTGGCCGTAGATCCACTGTGAACGGAAAGTGAAACATGAATGATAACGCAAGCTACTCCTTGCATGTGATAAGCGCTATACGTATGCCGTGTATTGGCTATTGCAGCAAATGACAGCAGTACAAGGGAGTATATGATATATGTGTGATGTTTTTTAAACCACTGAGATATTGATCTGACGACTGTTCTCCAACTCTGCACTAATCCGGGTTTCCAATTACCCAAGAAGTGTTGATAAAAATAGTCGTTTGAACAACAGACACTCAGTGTTTCAATCGAAGTATCACCGTTATCTCTTATTTCAACGCTGATGCGCAGCACTTCAGCACACCACTTCAACGTCCAACTTAACCACTGCAGCTGTAAGGCGTCCCTCACAGACCGACAGACCAATCAGTCTTACCTGGAAGACGAGGTAAGACTGATGTGTGGCTCCTCGTCTTACCTGGAAGACGAGGGTGTAGGCACTGCGGATGTGAAACCACTTGACGTGCAGTAGCGTGTCGTCGGGCGGAAGTGTGTAGGCGCAGTCGAGCACCACCGACGCGTTGGTGCCGTTTCGCACCACAATCGGCGGGTCGAGCAGTGACGGGTGCTCGCTGCCGCCTGCGTACAGAAAGGGGATGGGGTGTCACTGCACGCTGGGGTGTGTGACAGAGCTTGCTTCTAGTGTTGATGGTTTAGCTAGTGTATGGGTAAAACCAGGAATTCAGTGTCAAACGGGCTGATAAAACGCTTTGAACAGCGCTATTTTACACCATAAAATAGCGAACTCTTTCCATTGTTTACAGGCCAGGTGTAAAATGAAACTCTAGACAACGAATGTACAGTGTACCTACATATGTTCACAGTACACAACAATAAATATATAACATTTCGTGTTATGATCCCGTTCCAACACTGCAAATAAGCTATGTATTTGTGATGCATTGGGCCCCACCACCAATGCCGGTGAGGTAGCGCGCCTTTACAGAACAGTGGAATGTTAGACTGTACCGCAAGGCAGCGTAGTCCAGAATACTGGAGCGGTAGACTGTGCCGCAAGACATCCTGGCTTTTCTGCTCGCCATCATTCCGGCGGTAACGATAACGCTGAAGAAAAAAGGAAGCATAATAAAGCCTTTGACTCTCTTCAGATATCTCCCAGAAACAGTTTCAATTTCGCACACTGTCGCGGATCTATTGTAGCGCGCGCGTGACAGGCTGTCGCAGACCGCAATGTCACGGCATTAAGCCAATACGGGCCGAGCCAGTCAATTTATGCCTAAACACGCTCCCCCTGCCGCTCTCTCGATGATTAATTCAAAACGTCATCGGGCGGATGACGCTGTCTGCGACAGAGTCGGAATTTATAACGAGCTCGGTCGTGTGCCGTCGTTGTGCCGTGGCGGCGCCGTACCGCTGTGAGAGCACGGCCTACGGCCCGTCGGCGGCAGGCGGTCGGCGCGGCGCGGCGCTGGCGCGGTCACGGGTCGCAGCTGGCCGCGACACTGGGCCATATTGGCCCCATCAGCACGCCGATCTCGCCGGCGGTGGATCCCCCGTATCGTGGCGAGCGTAAGCATGTGTCGATCGAGTATATATGGACAACCTGCAGGCGACTGGCAGGTAGGATGTTCCAGGTCAGCTCATGAATTGACTTTGTATATGCCTTTGTTTGAAGATACTGAGAATGTATACAGTGCTCTACATAACAAAGTATTGAACAGACAGTTACAACTGATGACCTAGCAGATCTTAGCATGTTAACCATGATGAGGTCCTGTTATACTTCAAGCTAGACGTGTCACATTCTCCTATCCCCCGGCAGCGATGTCTCAGGAGTCATTACAAGGTCGGGTGGAGTTCTATGGATTGCAGTTGCTCTGTTTTCCGGATGAGTTATTCAAACCCCATTATCGGCAAGACTTGTTAACATGTCACACTATCCTAATAACGGCTTATCACTTTCTTCAGGGAATGGTAAACCATTGTCGTATATACCTGTCATGCAGACATTTGTGCATATAAGTTATGTACATACGTGTTTCAATATAAGTTACACGACTGAGCTATACCACAAGATGGTCACAATTATCAGACGTTACCCATAGGATACACATGACACAATGCGGGACGTAAGTCTGGGCTTTGACCCCCATACATTTGAGTGTATGAGGCATGAGCGTTTGATAAAGCATACGCTCAGCGCATCGTGAATAAAACTGTCACAAAGAAGGTGGAAACATAAATGTGAGTGGAGGCATACGCATTAGCCAAATATGCAGATATTCTGGGCAGATAATTTCGCCATGAAAGCTTATTGTGGAAAGCCATAGAAAACATATGCCTGCAATAAATTATGAGATAACACTCTTGTCTTTCAACACAGTCACTATGAGGCTACGTGACGGCCCATCACAAGCCCACAAATAGCACGGCATAAACCCTTAACGGCCCCGACCTCGTCTGCCCCAACAGTCTGTCTCAGCCGAGACCAGCCTTCAGTGCTCGTATGGCCCAGAGGTCAGCCCCTGTCAGCGTCTCTCACTATTCCAGCCGTGGGTTCGGCTTCGCCCGGCTCGTACCACACGCCGTTCCAAACGCCTCGGACTCGGCTATCCAACTGTATTCCGCCGCGCGCCGGGCCGGCGGCGACCGGCCGACCGGTCAGTCAGACACGCAGAGGCGCGCCCAGCACCACAGAAGGGCAGAGGCGCACCCAGCGCCACACAACGGGGGGGACACAACACTGAGCAGGAATAGCCATTCCTGACATTTCCCCCTCCCGGGCACCCTCGCGACCGCAAATGCGCCACAAACACTTATGACTAATACACATCACGGCTAACGACAGGTTTCAAGTACATCACATGTGTTCGCCGCGTCCTTCCCGTTCGCGGATCTAAACAGTCAACATGACGCCTTCCTACCAAGTCCACCACAACGTGCACAGGTGACCATGGGTTGCACATTTTACGGGGAATGCCCTTACGCTCATCAAAGTTCCGTATCCGGACTTGGTCACCTGGTTGATACGTGGGCTCCCTTACCCTATGCCTCAAATCATACGCTCGCTTCTGGGCACGTTGGCTGTCACGTAAGGTTTCATGGGCCGCTCTGAGCGTGCCAGCCACCATACGCATTTTCTCGTGAATGTAATCCTCCGAATATTTGGGAACATGCGCAGAGATAAGCTGAGAAACAGGAGAATTCACATGTCGCATAAAATACAAGAAATATGGGGAAAATCCATGAGACGACGACACTTCATTATTCAAAGAAAAAACCACAGCTGGTAAATGTGCTTCCCAGTCAGAACCATAAGTTGCCGATAAAGTTCGAACCCTACGCTTTATATCTCTGTGACGCCTTTCCAATTTCCCGATAGCCTCGTGGTGCGACCCAGTAGCGTGTCTCCTACCTACACCCCAAAATCTGCACAATTCTGCCACCTTCTCGCTTTTCATATTCGCACCAGCATCCGTTTCGATACGCTGGGGAGGACCGAATGTCAAAAAATGAGTGGACAGAGCATCCGTAATGTCATCGGCGGTTCCGGATCCTAATGGGTAATACGTAAGAAAGCCAGTAAACTTATCGATGCACGTCAAAACTAGTGTCTTGCCTGACAGGCGACTCTGAGGCATATGGACCACGTCTATAACCAGCACTTCACCCGGACTGGTCGGATCCTGCGGTAACAGAGGAGGGCGCGGTGGTCCCCTGTCGTCCTTTTTCGCACCGCAAAGCGCGCAGCTCGCTACATAATTCTGACAATCCCTTCTCAGGCCGAGGTACCAGATGTTTCTCGTCAAAATTTCATATAACTTATCGGCTCCGCAGTGCGCACCGGTAGAAGTATCATGATGCCGATACAGTATTTCGAAGCGTTTAGAAGTCGGCCAAACAATCTGAAAAGAGCCATCAGAGGCCTTGCGGTACAAAATGCCATGTAACAATGCAAAATTGTCTATCTTTTCCCGCTTCAGAGCAGGAGGACAGTACTGTGGCCATTTCCCTGTTCTTAACCGAAAAACCAAAGCCCGGCAGTGTTTGTCATGCTTCTGATGCCATATCAGAGCAGCCGGCTCAATGTTGCAATCAAGAAGACAATCTGCAGTTACTGCATTCACTGTAACGTTCTGATCGGCTCTGTGACTGCCACGGTCGGCCTCTGCCACCGAGTCGCCCGCGGTTACGTCATGGGAACCGGGAGCCGTCCCATCCGAGGCTTGCTCGATTCCGTGACTGCCACGGTCGGCCCCTGCCACCGAGTCGCCCGCGGTTACGTCATGGGAACCGGAAGTTGACGCATCCGGAACACGTTCGCCAGTCACATGCTCAAGCGGCGCGCGAGCCGCCACACCGCGAGCTCGTGCCGGCATCGCGACACTGCCGCGCGTGTCATGGTCACGTGCCACCGGCGGCACGCCGACACCCTCCGACCGCTGCAGCCCCGTCACCTGACCGTCACGTGGGGCAGCAGCAGCCGGCTCGGCGACGGTTACGGTACCGTCACCGGACAGCCGCCCACCCGCGGCGAGCTCAACCGCCGCTCGAACCGCACCGTCATCAACCGTGCCCTCGTGTACCCGCGACAAAAAGTCAACATGCTGCATTTCTACAGCCCGGCGGTGCTCCACTACAAACTGAAACTGACCTGCGAAGGACCTCCAGCGCGCGATACGAGGATTTAACTCGTCACGGTTGGACAGGATCTGAAGGGCGCTCTTGCAGTCGCAGCACCATGTGAACTCATCTCCCGCGAGATACTTGTAAAATCGTCTGAGGCCCTGAATAAAACTATAGACTTCAAGCTCAAAAATCGTCCAATTTCTCTGAGCTCGGTTATATTTGCTGCCGCCGTAGGCGATCACCCTTTCCGCGCCATCCTGGATCTGACACAATACCTGGCCTGACCCAGAGAGGCTGCTGTCAGTGTACAAAACAAATCGATCCCCCTGTCTGGGATATGCCAAAACTGGTCCCGTCATCAACGCCTCACGGAGCGCCTGGAATGTCTCGTCCAGTTCAGTGCTCCAGTAGAACTTGGGCGAATTCGAAAGGTCAACCAAGGGCGCAGCTAGAGTCGAAAACGACGGAATGAATTTACGGAACCAGGAAAAAAATCCGTACAGCCTCTTCACTTCCTTTACGGTCCTCGGCGTTTTCAGATCTCGAATGCACTGAATGCGGTCGGGAGCGATCGTGATCCCATCAGGTGTGATTTCATGTCCTAGATAATTCAACCGCGTGACTCCAATGCTGCATTTACCGGGAGACAACTTCAAACCGGCCGATTGTAGTCTACCCAGAACTGTACTCAGCAATTTATAGTGCTCGTCCATGCTGGCGCTCGTCAGGAGCACATCATCAGCATATACATGTACGCCTGGTATATCCCCCAGAATCTTGTGCATCGCCATGTGCAGAAAATAGGAGGATTGCATGCAGCCCATGGGCATTCTCTGGGGATAGAAAGTTTTGCCAAGCGTATGGAAGGCACAAATACGACTGGATGCTTCGGTAAGGCGCAAATTCCAAAACGCGTGTTTGATGTCAAGTGAACTAGCCACCTTCCATCCGTGCAACGAAAAAAGAAAATCGTCTATGTTCGGAAAAAC